CTAAACCCTAAATCCAAACCTTAAAACCCTAAACCCTAGACCCTAAACCCTAAACCCTAAACCCTTAAACCCTTAAACCCTAAACCCTAAACTCTAAATTAGGGTTCGTCAAGACCTTTACGCCTTGCTCGAACCTAGGGTTTGCAGTGCCGTCTCCTTGTGCACGGCATCGGCGTACAGGAAAATCGTGGCCTCATAGGGTCGCTAGATCGGTTTAGGGTTTAGGGTTTAGGGTTTAGGGTTTAGGGTTTTTAAGGTTTGGATTTAGGGTTTAGGGTCTAGGGTTGCTAGATCGGTGGCTGTTGCGGCTGCTGCGGTTCGGGCTTACAGCTTCAAGATACATACAGCTCGAAATTTTGAGCTTCAGAAAATCGAGGGCCTAATGTCCTAAACCCTAAACCCTAAACCCTAAACCCTAAACACGTATACTCCTAATTCGTGCTCCAAGCACAGAAAGCCGCCGGAGCTCAGCTTGCGGCCCCCTGAGGGATCTTAAATCCGCCGAACTCCATGGGGATCTCGGCCTCACATGGTTTGGGGCTTAAGGGTTTAGGGTTTAGGGTTTAGGGTTTAGGGTTTAGGGTTTGGGGCTTAAGGGTTCGTTTGCCAGGGACAAAAGAGATACTAGGAGGCGCTCTACGAGTTCTATAAGGGTTGCTATGCTGTAGAGTGTGGGGGGGGGGAGTTGTGGTTTAAGGTCTAGGGCTTGCGATGTAAGCTTTGGGGTTTGTAGGGCTCAAGGCCTACGGATGACGGCTGCTTGGGGCTTGGGGTTCCATGCGCTCTTAAGCTAGAGTTTTGGCAGTGCAGTCCTTGGGGATCGAGCCTCAACTGTGATATGGGGGTTTCCGAAAATAGGGGACTCTAATATAGTACCCTAAATAGTAGGATCCTTATTATAAGGACCCCAAAATAAGGTACCCATTAATTCGGAAACTCCCATATAGGGGGCTTTATAAGTAGAATAGGGTTCGGGTTCCTTCAAGGGTTCGTTCCATAAGGGTTGCCCAAAGGGACTCGCCCAAACCTTCGTGGGTGCAGGGGTTGCGCCACAAAAAGGGTGCTGGCAGCTTACGCGCATCCCACCCAACTCGCGCCTTGAAAAGATGCCAATGCACGGATGCCGGGCGCAGGCTTTTGACGGGTAGAGATTAGGGTTTAGGATGCAGGCTTTGGTTCAAGCGTTAAGCTAAAACACGAAAGGGGCGTGCATGTAGGGTGCAGCTTCGCTCTGTTGGTGGTTAACAACGCACCACTCGTTAGGCTTCGCTTGCCAGAACCTGCCACACTGCATTTTTCCATCTATCTGTATATCTGCCAGTCTGCCTATCTATCTAACTATCTATCGATCTATCCATCTATCTACCTACCTGTCTATCTACCGATCTACCTATCAACTCTAACCATTCACACCATTTATGTGTGTGCACATGCTGTATACATGCTGTACTCGTGTGCCTGCGGGTGTGCACATGTACATGTACATGTGTAAGTATAAGTATAAGTGATAAGTACAAGTATACGTACATGTATGTACATGTATGTATATGTATGTATATGATGTATGTTTACGTATGTATATGTATACGTATATGTACATGTCTTTGCAAATATACCATGTAAACCACACGCCCTGCGCAAGACTTCGGTTTTGCACGCCGCGCGGCCTCATAAGTTCCTTGGGATCTCCTGCCCATGCCGCATGAGCATGAGGACATGACGGAGCATGGACAACGGTTTAGGGTTAAGGGTTTAGGGTTTAGGGTTTAGGTTTTAGGGTTTAGGATACTTATTATCAGGACCCTAATATAGTACCCTAAGTAGTACTATAAGGACCCTAATATATAGCACCCTAAATAGTAGGATACCTTTTATCAGGACCCTAATATAGTACCCTAAATAGTAGGATACTTGTTATAAGGACTACTTGTTATAAGGGCCCCAAAATATAATACGGTACCCCAACAAGTAGGATACTTATTATAAGGACCCAAAAAAAAGGTAACACGGCCGGCGGCTCAGAAGCTGGAGCCAGAACCGAAGCTAAAACCAGCTGGACTGTGATCTCGGAAGCGTCCGAGGCATGCAGTGCTGGCACCGAACTGATGAATGAGCATCTCCATAATGTCATCGTTGCCATTCTCTTGCGCAATCAGAAGCGGAGAACCGAGATTCGGATCTGCTCCTCTGAACCCGAGCATTTCGACGATATCGTCGTGGTCGCCTTCGCACGCCGCGCAAAGAGGGGTGCCACCCCATTCTTCCTCACGGTCTAAGTCTGCGCCGAGGTCCAGCAGCAAGGTCGCTACTTCCTTCTGGCCGTTGCGGCATGCTGCATGGAGTGGCGCATGCCCGTTTATATCATATCCGTCAAGATCAGCACGAGCTTCCAGCAGTTGGGTGAGTATCTCCAGCTCGCCCTCAGCGGCAGCATCCACAAGTGCTGAGTTGAGTTGGTCCTGGGAAGTACCGGATCCACTCTCGAGCGGCAGCATGACGAGCTGGACGTCCATTGCGCCATCCTAGTTCATGGTTGGGGTAGTATTAAAAATTCGAATTTCTATTCCTTATTGGGTTTAAGTACCCTTAAAAATGTAAAATGTTACCCAACTATGACAAAGCATCGAGTTGAGCATCGTCCTCCAATGGAGCTCCCTCGTGAAGAAGTCTCTGGAAAGACTTCGGCCATCCACACACGCTTTGCAAGCGGCGCTTCAGTTCACCTGCGTCCGTCTCCGTCAACTCCTCCACGGGTATAGAAACTAACTCTTCACCCGAAACTCGCCAAACACGAAGCATTGCGGCCATGCTGGTGGCAAGTGCAGGGGTGCGTGACTGAAGCCGAAAAGGCTCAAAAAATGATCAGGTTGGGTCACGAATTCCATCTTGAAGCGTACTTCGAAGAGCACTGCTATTTCCTGGCCCGGCATTTTGGAGCTGGAAGTCGCCTAGACCAATCTGGGGATCAACACACTAGAATTAACGAATCAAGGGAGGAAGACTTCCGCAGCAGACAGGTGGTAGTAGGGCCTTCGGTATGTGGAATCCCATCTCCTACACCCAAAGCCCCAGCTGCCATGCTCAGACGATACAGATATGACCAGATATGCATACGAATAGGAATACCCAAACATCAAAACCTAAACCCCTGGAACTCTGAGCCGAAACGCTGAATCTTCAACCGTAAACCCGGAAACACCCCCATGAACCACCAGCCTCAAACACAAGTTGCAGATGGGTAGTTCTCTAAATTAGGGTCCCTTTGTACATCCCCAGTATAGTACGGCAATCTTTATGAAAAGGACCCTAAAAGGAAGCCTAATTTTAGGCAACTACCCATATATGGAACCCTTATAGTACCCTTATAGAAACCTTTGTAGATCCCTTAACCCTAAACCCTAAACCCTAAACCCTAAACCCTAAAACTTAAACCCTAAACCCAAGATCCTAATTTAGATTGCAGAAAGCGGACGGTTCTCAGCGTCAGCTTGGCCGGGATGTCGCCTTGGAGGCTTCTGGGCTTGGGGCTTTGGGTTCAGGGTTTAGGGTTGAGGGTTTAGGGTTTAGGGTTTAGGTTTTAGGGTTTAGGGTTTAGGGTTTAGGATTTCAGGGTTTAAGGCTGGGGCTTTGGGTTCAGGGTTTAAGGCTTAGGGCCCAGAGTTTAAGGTTTTGGGCTTAGGGCCCAGAGTTTAGGGTTTTGGGCTTACGGCTCAGAGTTTAGGGTTTTGGGTCTAGGGGTTAAACCCTAAAACCTAAACCCTAAACCCTAAACCGTTTAGGGTTTAGGGGAACGAACGTGTTGAGGGTTTGGGCGTACTGAAACGTTTGACCGAGGTTGGATGCTGGGGGTGGGGATCTGGCTCTGGGGGCTGTGGGGCCTCTCTGTGGCTAAGGCGGGTTTGGAGTTTGGGGTTCAGGGTTTAGGGTTTAGGGTTTAGGGATTCAGGGTCCTGAAACAATGAAAGCTGGGAGGAAAGTGAGGCTGCCTTACAGAAACCCGATACCCGAAAGCCTAGGAAGGCTCCTGGCTTGGAATCCCCCGACCCACCGCAAACCTCAAACCCTAAACCCCTTTTCTATCCTCTTAAAGCCCGAAACCCTAAACCCTAAACCCTAAACCCTAAACTAAACCCTAAACCCTAGACCCTAAACCCTAAACCCTAAACCCTACATTTGGGTTCCGGCTCGAGCTTGGAAGCTTTCTGGGGCTTAGGGTTTAGGGTACGGCCGGATCATGTCTGGACTCTCGGGTTCAGGTTTGGGGCTTTGCGTTTGGGGTTTAGGGTTTAGGGTTGGGGGGCTTTGGGTTCAGGGTTTAGGGTTTAGGGTTGGGGGGCTTTGGGTTCAGGGTTTAGGGTTTAGGGTTGGGGCTTTGGGCTTAGAGCTTGAGTTGCGGAGCCAAGCTTGGAAGCTCACCTGGATTCTGGGCTTCTTGTGTCGTTCAGGCCTGTGTGTCTTAAGTCTGAACTCCTAAGCCTTAAGCACCAAACCCCAAACCCTAAACCCCAAAACCTACGCAATAAACCCTAAACAATAACCCTAAGCCCTAAACCCTGAACCTTAAACCCGAAGCACCAAGCCGGAACCTGAGCCCTTAAAGCTTAAACTCCAAGCCGCAAGCTCGAACTCGAAACCTGAAGCCCTGAATCTTTCACTCCACGTCCTACACCACGACCACAAACCTGAAGGCCTTCAAAAGTCAGGGTTTAGGGTTTAGGATTGAGGGTTTAGGGTTTAGGGGCTGTACACCCCAAAAACTTCAGCCACAAACTCGCCCTGGGCTCATGAGCGGCCGACTGTGCAATCGCACGGCCTCCGTGATACAGGCGTTCGTCCTTCGGTTTAGGGTTTAGGGTTCAAGACAAAACAAGGATAGGGGCCTTTGGGTTTAGGGTTTAGGGTTCACCGATTTAGGGTTTAGGGTTTAGGGTTCAAGACAAAGCAAGGATAGGCGCCTTTTGCTTGCGGTCAGGAGTTTACTGTTTGGGTGTTGCAGGGTACGGCCTCGGGTTCAGGGTCTATGGCTTGGGATTTCGAGGGCAGAGCTTCCGGCCTAGGGCGGTTTTTTTTGTCAGTGCCATGCG